TCATAAGATTGATTTATCGCTATTATAAATGGCTGCCGAATAAATTAAACTTATGATTGGCCATTCGACGCCATTTTTAATATTTTCTAGTACTTTTGCGATACTGCCATAAGCCGGTCGCGCTTCTCTGATAATCTAGGACTCTAGATCCTCTCTGGCAGAGCCTTTGAGTAGTACATGGAGATGGAATGCCTTTGTTCTTTGTAGGTCGCAAGCTAGTCCAATAGTGGCAAGGAGTGCGAGAGAGAAAGGTATACGAGCGATACCACGTGATACTTCATCTTCTGTCTGTCGAATGATCGACGAATGCACAGAGAAGACAAATATTACTCATTGAGTAAAAAGACACAGGAGAGAACATATGGTTCTGAGCAAGGGAACGGAAGTGCTATATATAAGAAAGGTCGCTTAAGATGGCCGCTCAAGTGTCTTTAAAATTCATTGGTTTGTGCTGTTCTCCTACTTTGCGCTGTTCTTTGTGCTGTTCTCCCTCTTCGTCAAAAGAAAGGTCGCTCAAGATGGCTGCCATGACGTAGTTCCGTCCCCGGCTCAGCCTATCCCCACCTACCGATACCGTCTCTCCTGTGTCTTTTTACTCAATGATATTACTCGTCTACCTTTCTCTCTCGCACACATCTTGGACACAGTTTTCGAGCCAACATTCCCTCTCCATGTCTATATACTCAAAGGTCAGAGCCAGTGAGATATAAGGCCGAGACACGTACAGACTTTTGCATAACGCTGCATAACGCATAAGACGTAAAGTATAAGAGAATCAACCAATCAGAGTCCTTCATTTCATATTCTGATTAGTTGATTTTCTTATGCCTTATGTCTTGTGCGTTATGCAGCGTTATGCAAAAGTCTGTGTCTCGGCCTATAAACATACGTATGTGTACATCCCTTATAGAAAAGTATTATTGAAACTACTAAAAAATATGCAGTAATAAATTACTGTAATTACTGCTAGTAGTATTTTGGCCGGTAGTTTAGAATCACTGGACAGTATTGAATTACTGATAGTAATTTATCCTGTCTCTTATACACATCTCTGAGCG